AACAAACGAGCGCAAAATCACCACCCTTCAATTCGGCGTCGATGCTGGAGCTTCCATTCAACACGCTTCAATTTGTTTATATAGCAAACGGAAAGTTTCTAGGAAATTACGCCGCATCCTCTTTCCATCCTTCTCGCCAGTGATCAAACTTTAATCGATTTGATGGCGCCCTGATGTCTCTCTGGCTTTCAAGAATATTAGCTACATTATTTAAGTTCAATGAAATGGCACCCCATCGACGGGTTTCAATTTTATTTAAAGTTATCGTGGAAAAACCATACAACGGAGGAACGTAAATTGGGCCTCGTCGATTTGAAAAGAAAGCTTCGATTTTTAGTTGGGAAACCATTCTCTGAAATCAATCTAATAGGGCATGTTGGTTCATTAGTAATTTGGGATTTTTCTCACAATTCTTTAGCTAATTTGGTATAGCTCTCCAATTGAAACCTCCAAGAACACATCCAAGTCCTGGAACAATAGGTAGGTACATTTGAAATTTAACTTCTAATTCCAGATCCTCAAGCAAACAATGACCCCGATCAAACCGCTTTTACACGGTGATACAGTATGCGAGCTAGTGTATCCAATATACTTCCGCGTGCAAGCAGACGTGGGCGTTGCTAGGCGCGGGCAGCTGACGTCAGGTAACGTTTGCTTCAATTATTAGAACTTCTAATGACTATTTTGAAGTCAACTGTCGTTATTTTTCAAAAATTCTTCTACTCACCAGTTTTGGGCATGTATTCTTACGATTCTGGGGGTTAAAATAATGACATCATTTTTTTGAGATTTCCCTACAACGCGACCAACCAAGCAACGCTTCGTTACAGGACGCCATCTTCAGTATGTAGGCAGATTTTACACGGAAATATCTTATCTAAAGTACGAAATTTCCTACAAAAGCACACAGTTTTTTTCCGATTAAAAGGCGTGGTTATTTCTAAATAATTACATCAATGTTTTATAAAAATAAACGAAGTAACCAATAAACCAAATCTGAACTGTCACATAAATGGCAACAAAACAATTTGACAATTTGATAAAATTTCCTTATCCTTAATGTATTTAGGAAATAATTTTTTTACAAGGAAACAAGGACCTTGGATACAGACTGGATACGCAAAATCGTTCTGTGATTCATCGTAAGGAAGCCCACCAGAGTAATTAAATGAATTTAAATGAACAATTCATTAGTAATATTAACACACCCGTCATTAATTCAGGCAACTGGCCCCAAAACAACAACGTCCAACCCGACATGGTTTACACAGCATTATAATTGTTAATAGTAAAAGATGGGTTACAAATAGGGCAGAAGTTAAGCGATTCTTTTCTCACTGATATCTCATTAATGGTTGATAATTTGTAACCTAAATAACTTCAATATATAGATCTCTCTTGGAAATATAAAACTTTTCACTACTTCTGTAAGACTTACAACAGCGACGTTAATTCCAAAAAGTTCACCAAAACTGAATTATCTTTATTACGCTTAAACCATGAGATAAAAGAACAAATCCTTACAACCTCTCTAAAACGAACAACAAAAGCTGCTCCTAACTGAAAGAAATTAATTAATTAATTAATCAATTAGTCAACAATTAAATCTATTTTGGAAATTAATGGAAACAAATAATCCTAACTGAATGAGCCGAAACAGAGTCAAATTTAAATTACAAAATAAATGTTCGTTAATACTTCGATCCACACGTCTAGCAACCGCCGGCTTGGGATACTTAGCTTCGCCACAGAAAAATGTGACTACTGAGTACTGAGCCGTACCACCACTACAAGGTGGCAGGGTTATCTAACATTTAGTTCAGACAAAAATTGTAGATCATAAAATTATCTACAAAAATGGTCCTTATAGTTTTTTTCTCTAAGAATCACCATTCCTAAGTATTTCGTATTTTAACACTTGAAGGAGTTACACTTCACATGAAATGGACACATTTCCACACCCCCGGGGAAGTACCTAGCGTTTTTTTAACGTGGTTTTCTGGGTAGGTCTTTAAACTTTTCTGATTTCTGTTAATATTTTAGTCTGATTCATACTCTTAAAATTCTTCTTCTTTTTCCTCTGATTCTTGCTGGATGGATTATCTTCATCGCCACAAAGTAAGCAATATTCTTAAAAATAAAAGTCGGTTTCACGTAATCGCGCTCTAGTACAAGGTGGACTCACTTCTGATGGACCAGCAGGTTCATCCTCATGTTGTATTTGATAGTCGCAATTGAATTTTTCTGGGTATGTGATTTGCAATCCACGTAAATTTTTACAGACTTTTTGCTCCCCAGATAAACAACAAACTCATTACCCCTTTCGATACTTGCACCATTCAAAGTTTTCATTCCACAGCCAAAGCACTTGCATAAAAATGATGATTTCAAACTTCTCCCACAATGAGACCGATTGAGCTCAGTTTATTGTTTGAGTTACAATTTCGCCACTTTAGACGATTTAAAATATGTGTATCCTGCGATTTATTTAATTCGATTTAATTCCGATGCATTTTTTTTCTATCGCCACATTTATTTTCGCCTTCGAATGAAGTCTTTGAGGTTTGAAATTTGGCACTTTAAATTTCCTCTTCGTTTTATCACGTAATAGTAATCTTTTGTGTATATTAACGCAAAACGTCCCCACTTACGAACTAACGCGCAATCCTTTGGAATACTATTTCTTCTAGCGGCGGTATGAATTAAATGTCGTCCGATAAAAACTCCTTATCGCAAACGACCAGATGTCCCTACATTTTAACACTTAGTTTTCCGTTTTACAACTAAATACACAAATCTACATAAACAATTTGCAAAAGCGATAAAATCTAAACAAAAACCACGCATTTACAAAACTTCTAAAAAGAAAAAAACCACTAAGATATCAAATTCAAATACAATAAACCATTTCCTTATTCGTAGATAATTAGCAGATTTACACTGTAATTGTAATACTATCATATACATAATTATTTTTGGTGTTTAGAAATACCTCTACATTACGTTGTTTACACAACATTATTTAATCGGCACTGTGGGTGTGTAACTAACGTCAAAGGCAACCATACTGTGTAAATAGAAATGCAATAAACATCTCATCCAGCTACACTTGAATTTTTATTTGTGTACATTTTATAAATCAAGTAATGTCTGCACCATGTAAAAATTCTGATTGAATTTAAGCCCGTTAGCTGAGCAAATAATGTAATTGAATTTATAATGTTATTTAGGGATATCGAAACGTTGATTTCGAATTTCAATAACGCGCGGAGCGACTCTGTCGCGTTCCTTTTCATACATTTCAGTTTGTAATTTCCGAAATCAAATTCGCTCAAACGTTTTAGACATACAGTCGGAGCAATTGTCGCTAGAGGAATCCACCATAAATAGGCTTACGGGATTCCGTCAGGAGTTTTCTCGCGATTATGCCACAGTAAACCTACAACCCGCCGTGTACTTGTTTCACAAGCTTGGCGACCTACGATACGAATCTCTTTAATCAAGGTACATTTAACTTAAAAGACATTACGTTTACGGTTGGGATGCGCGGATTTGTAGCCGAGTTAAAGGACTGTTATCGCTTTCACCAAATGGTACTCGACAATTTGCTCAGCCCAGATTTTGCTTAACGCTATATTTGACGATGAGGGAAATAATTAGCCGTAATGCGAATTAAATAATATATTATGCAGTAATTCCAGATTGGTCTTGAAATCCATTCTGCACTTGCAATTTATAAATTAAATATGGAAACGTGCTGAACATGCGCTACAATTGGCGACAGAATGCTTATTGAAACGTAGAAACAATTCGGGGGAGAATAACATACGTAGGTACACAATGTCTACAATGCATTAAAGCTTTTACCATTAGTGGGTGATGAATACCCATTATACCCTTCGCGCACTGCAGACGTGAACTTTGAATTGTGTTAGTAAGACAATTGAACATGATTAAATAAGGAATTAGGTATACTCCTCAGCAACCATTCATGGGTAGGTCTTAAAATGAAAAAGTCATTATTCGGAATTGCCTCTCCTTTTGGTACATCCGAAAATATCTCACAAAGTTCGGAATAAGTTTTAAATTAGCAGCTGTTTGCTGCAGAGGCTAATAAGTAATGCGTTAATGATCCATCTTGTTGATTAAGGGTCCAGCTGCAGCTTCTATCTTAATTAATTCTCTTTTTATGAACGGAACAGTTTTCATTAACCTTCTTATGGAGAGTAAAAGGGATGCGCGCCATGAATAATGTACTCATCGAGCTCTTTATTTCTACTACCTACTCCCTTGACCCTTGTACACTGAAAGGCCGAAATACCTGTTCTTATGAAGAACGTAATAATGGAATCTTATGTTTCATCGAAATTGGACCAGCGATGCATTAGTTAATTCGTTTAGGTGTAGGTGGAGCTTGTGATGTAACCTTAGAAACGCGGGAATTTCAATCGTATAATGACAAAAGCATTCATTTCAAGAAAAAAATGTAACTTTTTCAAAGTTCCAACAGTTTTAGGTCTGTATTAACATTAAATCAGTGAGAGATGATATTTTTTTCTGATTAACCACATTGTGAACACTGTTGGAAAGTGTGTTGTGCATGTTTAAAAAAGGATGAGTTGATTGTTGTTAAATTGCGATGAGTTTTTTTTGTTTTGTAAAAACGTCAGATAATAAAATTGTGATTTTTGACAGGAAAAAGAAAAATAAAATACGATTTGAACTTAATCCGTGACAGGACTCATTTTGTAATTAGAATTGATTACCTATTATTTTAGGTAAGAAACCACATATTTGGCGACCGTGTCTATAGATCTTGCAATCTCAAGAAAACGAAGGAAAGATGAACCAAGCATCCCTTAGCAGGAAGCGCGCTCCAATGCGAGCAATGATTACAAAGACTATTAAGGAAATTGAATTGGCGCTAGATACCAGAGATCAGACGACGTTTGAGACAAAGATTCATTGGTTGAAAATGAAAAGGTGAAGAATTAGCGAAAATGGATGAAGAAATGATGAATATTCTTGCCGAGTCGAATGATTCGGAAGAAGTCCTAATATCAGAAGCCGAAAGCGCGCAGCACTACCAAGAAGAAATATACCGCTGCACTTTATTGAATACGAGTTGTGAAATTACATCCGCTGGTGTTACTGTATCGAATAGACCGGAAGTAGGTAGAATTAAGTTACCTAAGCTAGATTTACGAGTTTTTAATGGAGAATTAGAGGAGTGGCTCGGCTGGTGGGCTCACTTTGAAAAGATCGACAAAGCTTCTTTGGACGACGCAGAGAAATTTCAATATCTGGTGCAGGCTCTGGCAGGACCTGCGAAAGAATTAGTTTTAGGATTCCCGCCAACGTCTGAAAATTATCCTAAGGCTTTGAATTCCCTAAAAGAACGTTACGGAAACCAAGATTTATTAGGCGAATTGTATACGAGAGATTTATTGCAGCTTTGCATACGACAGTCGAAATCTAGACAGGATATTCTTCAAATTCATGATAAGGTTGAGACAGCATTACGTTCTCTAGAAAGTTTGCAAATTAATATGAAAGATTGTGCTCCTATAATTACCCCATTAGTTGAATCTACTCTTCCTGAGGAAACGCTCAAAGCATTTCGACGCGCATTACCTGTTGAGAAGCAATCATCTAAAGATCGACTAACATTTTTACTGCAATTCCTGAAAAAAGAAATTGATACAGAGCAGAGGGTAAAATTAGCTTCTAGATGTTTTGACCCTTTTCCGACACGAACGCGTACAGCTCAAGTACTACATACTAAAGAAAGAACCTTTGAAAATATTTGTATTTTTTGTGAAATACCCGGACATAAAGGAAAAAACTGCAGGAAGGCGCTTAGGATGAAAATAGACGATAAGAAGGCTATTTTATTGAAGAAGGGAGCATGCTTTATATGTACCGAAAAAGGACATACCCTCAAAGATTGTAAAATGAATGAAAACTGCCCTGTTTGTCAGAAGAGACATGTTTTACCTATGTGTCCTGTAAACCGTTTCTATTCGACTGGAAGAGGAGTTCCACAAGAAGAAAATAAGAGTGAAGTACAACCGAATCCTGAAAAATTCGAAAATAAGGAAACATCTTCAAACTCGGTAGTTATGTCAGTTGCTACGATTTTGCCAACAATTTTAGTTCCAATTAGAGGAAGATGGGGACAAGTCCGCACAGTACAAGCCCTTGTAGATTCGGGATCTCAGAGATCATATATAATTAGTAGAGTCGCGACAAAATTGCAATTGCCTATTATTGGAACTGAAAAAGTAGCATTTGCCCTCTTCAGTGGAGTAACATCAAAAGAACAAGAACTGAATTGCTATAGAATTACAGCTCAATCAAGAGACACTATTTTAGAAATGGATGTATTAGGAACAGATCGAATAACCAACTATACCACGCAGGTTAATGTTAAAATTGAAGGAAAAGAAACAGAAATTAGAGCTAGTAGCGGTCCAATAGAAATGTTGATAGGAGCTGATTATTTCGGTTCTCTACTGACCGGAAACCGACGAGTTTTAGATAAAAATCTCACGGCATTTGAAACTTTATTTGGTTGGACTGTGTTAGGAACACCCTCTGCACTTAGAACCCTCTCAACGTGTGTTGCGATAAATCACGTAGAAGAAATACACGACCTTGAAACTAAATTCTGGGAATTGGAACTTCTTGGTATTAAAGATGATGCAATACAATGTGATAAAAAAGAAGAGATCATGAGAAATTTTTATGAGAATTTGAAGTACGAAAATAAACGCTATACTGTTTCGTTACCTTGGAAAAATGAAGTTCGTCCTCCGCCCAATCGAGCTCTAGCTGAAAGGAGATTAAGAAGTGTATCCAGTAGGATGACTCCTGAATTATATACCGAATACGATGCAGTTTTGAAAGATTGGATACTGACTGGTATTTTAGAGGAAGCTGAAGATAACGATAAAGGACACTATCTTCCGCACCGAGCTGTCGTACGTGAACAAAGTAACACAACCCGAGTGAGACCTGTTTTCGATGCATCCGCGAAAAGCGGGTTTTTGCCTTCGTTGAATGATACCCTCTCTGAATGCATAAATTTTATTGAATTATTGCCAATAATTCTCTTAAGATTTAGAGAAAATTTAATCGGTTGTTGTGCCGATATTGAAAAGGCTTTTCTTAGAATTAACGTGGAGGAAAAGGATCGCGATTTTTTGAAAATACTTTGGTGGAACGAGGAAGGAGAGATCATTTCATTAAGACATACCAGAGTTGTATTCGGCCTAAAACCGAGTCCATTTTTGTTATGTGCAGTAATCAAGACTTATTTGAATAAATTGAAAGACAGCAATTTCAAATTTCCTTGGGTAATTGAAAAGATGAGTAATTCGTTTTACATGGACGATCTAGTCTGCAGTGTGAATTCTAAGGAAGAGTTAGATGAATTTTTAATTCAAGCTAAAAATGTTATGGAGTCTGCTTCGATGATTTTGAGAAAATGGAAATTTAGCGGTTGCGATACACATGACGTGACAGTTTTAGGAATCCTCTGGTCTACGGACACCGACGAATTAGGATTAAACATTGATTGGTGGGAAGAAGAAAAGTTGCAGAAGCGGGACACCAAGCGTCGTATTTTAAGTTTGATTCACAAGCTATTTGATCCTATTGGCATAGTATCGCCTGTGTCAATAGTTCCTAGAATTTTTATGCAGAAGATTTGGAAGAATAAAATAGATTGGGATACCCCAATCAATGAAGAAGATCGAAAAGAAGTTGCAGATTGGTGTAAAGATATTCATTTGTTGAAGAAGGTTAAAATTCCACGATTACTAGGTAATGTAGAAACGATTAAAGGTGTTCATGTCTTTTGTGATGCCAGTAAGGCTGCTTATGCCTGCGTTATACTTGTAGTAATCGAAGATGATGATAGGAAAATTGATGTTCGTTTTGTTACCAGCAAAGCTAGGGTAGCTCCGAAAAATGTAACAATTCCAAGATTGGAACTGATGGCCGTTTTAATCGGTGTAAGATTGTTAAAATCAGTCTTAGATTCAATGTCTTGGAAGGACAAACCTGTATTCCTGTGGTCCGATTCAACTACAGTCATACAATGGATAAAGCGAAATGAAGCGTGGTCAATTTTTGTAAAGAACCGAGTCACAGAAATTCGCAGAAATTTGGCACCCCATGTAACTATAAGGCACGTACCTGGGGCTAATAACCCGGCAGATTTACCATCGCGTGGATGTAGTATTAAGAAATTTATAGAATGTAAATGGTGGGAGGGACCATCATGGATACGAAATTTAGAAGAATGGCCGTATGAAACAGAAGCTTTAGATGAAATAGAAATTGGTCTTGAAATGAGAAAGATTGAAAATGTACATGTTTGCACTGAAAAATTGAATTGGAAAGACCATTTCTTAATACGCTACTCTTCGTTTCAAAAAGCAGTTCGAGTTCTAGCTTGGATACGTAGATTTTTTAGAAAATTTCGAATAGGTGAGCATCTCGAGCCAGATCTCACTGTAGAAGAAATAGGAATGGCAGAGGAACACATATTTAAGCTTATACAAACGGATTTAAGAACCGATAGAAATAACTTAGAAACATTTAGAGATTCCAAAGGATTGGTAAGATTGCGAACCCGTATTGTTAATCGAGATGATAATGAATTATTCCTGTGCCCGATTGTATTGCCTGGAAGCAACGAATTAGTCTATCGATACATTCGTGAGCATCATGAAAGAATGGAACATCAAGGAGTGCAATTGCTCTTGAATGATATAAGAGAAAGGATTTGGGTGATAAATGGACGACGTATCGTTCGGAAGGTAGTAAATTCGTGCGTCATTTGCCGAAGGTTTAGTACTAAGAATTTAGAACGACCCACACCCCCATTACCTGTGAACAGGATTAAAGATGCGGCCTGTTTCGAAGTTAGCGGTGTCGACTTCTGTGGACCGTTTTTACTGAAAACTGGAGAAAAGGCCTGGGTATGTTTATTTACCTGTGCTGTATACAGAGCTGTTCATCTCGAATTATGCCTATCATTATCCACGGATTGTTTTCTACAAGCATTAAGATGTTTTGTTGCACGAAGAGGGAGACCTAAGAAAATTTATAGCGATAGAGGAACGAATTTTGTTGGCGCAGCTAATCTACTTGAATTAATTAACTGGGAAAAGGTAAACAAATTTGCTACAAGTGAACGAATTGATTGGAAATTCAATGTGCCCAGTGCCCCTTGGTGGGGAGGTTGGTGGGAGCGTTTAGTAGAATTGTGATTTTTGACAGGAAAAAGAAAAATAAAAAACGATTTGAACTTAATCCGTGACAGGACTCATTTTGTAATTAGAATTGATTACCTATTATTTTAGGTAAGAAACCACAAACACCTTTATTTATCGCTGTTTGGATAAACCAACAGATAAGCGTTTTCTCCCATTCCTTTTACAGTTTTAAAGTCGACAATAACTCAGACTCTCCTTCACCGAATTCTGAATTTTTTTCTTCACAAAAACGTTTTTTAATTGCGGTCATCGTCGTTTCTTCTATGGTTTCGGAGATCCCAATGATGGACATCCTTATCTTGGACACAGTATATATACCCAACTTCAATTTCATGCAATTTGATTAATAAATGACGGATATGTCCAAAGGGCACTTTGAATTTTGAATCTATTCACCCGCAAATCCAGTTAACTTTTGTCGATACCCCCACTTCAGACGTTCCGTTCACCCGAAATTCGCTTTGGAACTTTTGGCCCCAGTACCGGATAGATCTCGTCAAAGAAGACTCTCCTTTTTCGGTACTCAGTTCTGACGTTCACCCGCAAATTGCATTTCCATTTTTACCCACCATCGGATAGATCTAATGGAATTTCATTAAAATCGATTCATAAATGGCCAAGAAGTCAAAAAGGCATTGTGAATTTTGAATTTATCAAACCCAATTTTGGCATTTCCTATTGTGTGGTGTTGGCTATGCATATTTTGAAATTCGTGCAATTCGGTGCATAATTAACAGAAATGTCAAAAGGGCAGTGTTTATTTTTTTGATGACCAATTCCAAAAATTTGATAAAGAACCAATCTGCAAAATTTCATCGTGAAAAAAGCGAGCGATGTCCCGCGCCCTTTTATCCTCGCGTCCTTATGTCCGCGCGCCCATATGTCTCGCGCCCTAACGGTCGCGCTCTTTCGGCGGCGCCATAATATCTCTCCGTACACGTGACTGACCGGGCAGAGAAGAGTAGGTGTCCCAGTGAAACAATCCAGAGCAAAATAATGCAAACCCGTCGTATACAGGGGGGCCAGACATGCACAAAATCCTGCCAAAATGAAACTAAAAATAAAATAAAAATGAAGAACCATACGAGGTTTCAAACCTCTGGCACTAGGGGGTTATGGCTTCTTGTCTGAATAATCAGCAAAATAGACCTAACATAAATAATTATTTAATTTCAATAACAAAATATTACAGTAACCAATTAGCACAGGGACCATACAGGATGACGTTCAACAAATTAGAGAAAAGGTCAAATTTGGCACTTATTTGGTACTTAGTTTAAGGTATTATTGGCCGTTTGCACTGACAAATTTAAGTGGAGCTTAGCTTAAGGGTAGCTTAAAATCCATGGCAACGATCGATTATTGAGACAATGGTTGCCATGAATTTTAAGGTACGCTTAAGCTAAGCTCCACTTAAATTTGTCGGTGCAAACGGCCATAAATACCGTCACCCCAAAACCATCCCCTAAGTGGCGTAGAATCTTTTTTGAAATTTTGCTCAATAGCTCTAAAACTAAGTATTTTAAGAAAAAATATCAAGAGAGAAAAATTGCAGAGAAGAAAATTTGCTATCTGATACTTATACACCAAATTTTTTAGATGGCGCAAATTTCAGCAACTCATTCAACTATTTAATCGAAATACTATGGTATTCTATTTTGTAATATTACTATTAAACGCCGGAAACTATTCACTAAGGTTGCCTAAAACATGAATTGAATACTGCCTCCTGTAAGCGCGGTCTTCTAAGTAACCCCCCCCCCCCCAACTCTAAGCAACCACCTTCACTCCAATCGTGGGTGTATCGGCTTTTCCAGCACCTCATTCTCTGTAGTTTGTTTAGTTCTTATACAATCGGTGGTTCGTACCTACTTGCAGTCAGGAGCGTTAACCTGCCCCCCCCCCCCTCACTTACAGATTTGAGGTCGTATTATTAAAAAGTAATGCGCTCGTACGCGCCGCCGATAATAACTCTTGCGCAATTATCAATGCCCTCTGATACATCATGCGCTCAATTGCGCCACTTGAATTAAAGCTAGCGCCATCACGGTTAAGACATGACAAATTTTTAAAAAGAGGGGCGGGGGGCAACTTGACGTTTATAAAAGTTACTTTTGTCTATCATGTTTCTACAGGGTGGTGTTTTTAAGTGGACCATTAGAAGTATCTCAGGAACGGTTTGGAATTTTAATTCAGGGCCCATTACCTTTTTTGAATAATCGATCAAAAGGAATTAATTGAACATATGTTCAAGATGGCTGCTTTTCCGGTTGTATAAGAACGATACCGGAACTTTCTTATTACAAATGGCACTATATTTTCTGATACCATTTTTGAATTCTTCATATAAAAATCAGTATGATTTTGTCTATTTGCCATGGTTTCCAAGTTTGAGATTTTTTACAATTTTCAAGTTTCAGAGGTTCAGTAAGTTACTAGGTAAATTATCCATATCACTGTTGTCTCACAACAACAGCAAAATGTTTTTTTACGAATGGACAGCTAAAAATCCACGCTATTAAATTTTATTAGTCTGATTTTCAAATGTTATTCGAAAATAATACGAATAATCGTTCAAAGTTGACAAATCGGTTTTTGGTCAGAAACTTGAAATTTTCAAATAGAAACCATATCTTTACTATGCATCAATGGAAATAGCATAAAAACGGACAAAAACTTGCAAAACTTTTCTAAAGTGGACAGATTTTTTTTTAGTTTTTTTTTAGAAAAATTTTGCAAGTAAAATTTTTTTCCAAAAGGCAACTTTTGGGCGGCCGAAGCGCTTTGCAAAAAGTGGTTTATTTCGCCTCTCCGAAAAAAAAACAATATGTCGTCAGTGTGAGTTGGGCGCGTTTACAAGATCTCTTCGACGACACCAATTTGAAAACATTCGGACCCAAACATCGACCCAAACTATAGAAAAAGATAGAAAAACACTGAAAATTCACCACTTTTGTATAACACTCGGGGAGGGCGCCCAGATGTCGCTGACCCCAGATCTTGAAGCCTCGTATCTAAAGTTGTTCATGACATGACCCCGGTAGGTACATGTACAATTGTACACAACCAGCCGGCCGAAGTGAGATTGAAAGCTACCTTTTTACAAATAAATTTTTAAAAATGTGATAAAAAAGAAGGAAAGTTTAGAAAATCTTGACTCTTCACAGTAACACTAACTGCAAGTAGGAACTATAAAACCATGTTTCCAGAGAACCAATATAGTAACGGAATTAGCTTTGTAATCGAATCGATAAATGCAATAATGATTCGCGTTGCACAATATTTTGCATAAGCAATGTATAACGTCTGACACGAGGGGTTATTCTTATACGTAGAACTGCAAGCAATACTCAAAAAAATCAAGACTAAGAATTACTACAACAAAACAAAATTTGGTTCGACTATAGGTTGTTCCTTAAAATCGGAGAAAGATATTAAAAAGTGACATTAAGTTTTAAGAAGAATACTATAAAATGTACAAATAATTAAATCCTATTCAATAGAAAAGCAATCTCATCGATTCAAATGCAAACCAACTCACCCGAGCAAGTTCTTCGGAGCAAAATACATTACGTTAACTAAAAATCGTAAGAAGTTACTTCGGACAAAGTCTCGGTAATTTTAACAACTAAATCACAAGCAAAGGTAGTTAATATGAAGGATAAAATACAGCGAACTAACAAAAATGAATATGAGAGTAACGAAAATATGATGTCGACAATTTCAGATGGTGTTACCGTTAAAATCAGAACTTCGGTAACGACAAAACTAACAAGTTAAAAAGTAATCGTAAACGATTTACATAAAGCGCATTTCCACTTGCATTCATTTCCCATTTGTAAGATGCAACTTCTATAAAATCGTAAAAATCCGGCCACAAATATGAAAGATAGCGTTGCACATGGGCAATCCATTTTTGTCGTGCTACTTCAATGTCAGTTTATGAGAAGAATTTCATTTCAAGAAGAAATTTCATTTCAATTTTCCTTTTTGAAATCCATGAAAGTTGGCACTGCATGCGTTTGATTTTCCTTTATCCCAAGTGCCTATGTATCAAATTTCGTTTAAATTCTTCCATAAATAAAAAAGTTGGCACTGGGCATGCGCAAAACCAAATTTTGAAATTGGCGTTTGATTTTCCTTTATCCCAAGTGCCTATGTATCAAATTTCATTCAAATGCTTTTATAAGTAAAAAATTTTGCAATTCGGTTTATAAATGGTCGAGATGCGAAAAGGGCACTGTGAATTTTGAATCAATTCGATTCAACTTTTGGCGTTGCGTATTATATGGCTAAAGCTATGCCCATATTGAATTTCATGCAATTCAGTTCATAACTAACGGAGATGTAAAAGCGATCGAACATTTCTAAACAAAGTTATCGTTCACGCGGACAGATAGATGGACAGACAGACAAAGGAACAGACGGACAGACCAACAGGCAGACGACAGATAGCAATGCAAAATTATAAACGATCTTTAGGATCGTTAATAAACGGCAAAAGTGTAAAATTATGGAACATGTAAAAAACGGTTTTTTGTTTTTTTTACAATAACTTTTTTGTAAGCGGTACAGAAAAAATTCCTTCCTTGGTACAAGACTCGACACCATAACGAACCAAACAGCGAAAAAAGTAGAACAATGGCTCTTAAGATAAAGAACTAGTAGCGTCGCAAAACGAGCGGACGGACGGACGGACGGAC